CAGGAAAAAAACCTCATAATACTATCCCGACATTGTAAGTATTTGTTCGTGAATTTAGTTTACCTTCAACAAACATCAAAATTCTGATTTTATATGTTACGTTATTTAAAAAACATAAATGATGTATCCTCTATATGTTACTGAGTAACTAATACTGGTATTTTCTTATTAATAACTTCCTCTTTCAATATTAGTAACCAGATCTTATTACATTCTGCCGAGGAATTTGCGACACAATTGGCCTCATTTAGCATAATTAGAGCCGCTTCTTTGATTTTTCTTTTTTTACCATCCGTTTCTTTAAGGACTACATTTGAATTATTCCATTGAACCCTATGTTTATTATCCCATGCGGGTTTACATATTTGAGATCTATCAAATTCTCTATTTTTAATATAAGATTGATGTTCACTTATTCTAACATTTAATGGACTTGATGATTCACCTAAATAAAACTGAAAGCATTCACAAGGTATTTTATAAATGCAATTCTTTGTCCTTTCTTGTTCATTGTTAGGTTTGGTTTTAGACAAAATAGATCTCAACGTGTTTGTTGTTATGAATGTTGTTGAAATGTTGAATTTATTTCCTATCCTTTTAAGTTTTTCTGATAATCCTTTTATGTACGGTATTGTTATTTTCCTCATATTATTCCTTGTGTATGCTGTAGGATCTCGTTCTAAGTTGTTCTGTTCTATTCGATCGATTGTTGAAAATTCCTTATTTATAAACGATAAAGGATAATCATTTTTTAATAAAACAGATGTTAACAAATGTTTCTCCTCCAATAACGAATTTTCGTTAAAACAAGTAATTTTGGCTCTATCGTATAAGGATTTAATTATTCCCTTTTTTACATTAATATTGTAATTTGATTTGAAATTTAAATATCTATTGGTGTATGTTGGTTTTCTATACACCTGAGTTTGATATCCAGTATCGTTCTTAGAGATTAAAACATCCAGGAAAGATAGCGTGTTATTATATTCCTTTTCCATGGTAAATATTATTGTCTCTTCTTTATCGTTTATATCATTTAGGAATGTGTCCAACAACTCTGATCCATGAGGCCATATTGAGAATACATCATCTACATAGACTCCGACAAACTTAAGTTTGAGAATGTGACGTCGTGTTTCGCGCAGAAAGGCGGACCGTTCGTATCAGTGGCGGGCGGAAACCGGTAGCTTTAAAATAAATTTTTATAAGTATATTCAATTAAAGTGAAAATTAATTTGTCAATTTTTATTTTTATAATTTTATGAAGTTTATAGACACATTCGATAAAATAATGAGTAAACTATTAGGAGTACTTTAATAAATAACAAATTCCTCAATACTTACAATTTATTAACATTGCCAGGAAGGAAGGAAGGGTTTCAACAACACAAAAAAAAATAAGTAATTTATTTTAACAAATTAAATAATGTATTTATTTTATAAAAAAATATGGATTTTAAAGACTTCTATATTTTGCTATATGACATAGGAATATCACACAAAAACACGTCTATTCCGAAATTTTAATTACTATCTTCATCATCAGAAAAGCTTTCTTCGGATGAACCAGTATTAATAAAAAATTTTAAGTGGTCCAGCGTAGAGTCCAATAAATGTTCTCTTGCGATTTGAGTGTTTTCATATTTTTTTACGTGTTTACATATGTTAGCCCACTCTTCTATCAACAGTATTACCTTTTAGTAGAGTAATATTAACAGATTCTAAATTTGCATTAGACTCTATAAAAAATACAAAATTTGAAGGAATGAAGTATCATATGTTATGTTTTTTAATAAACACGATTGTAAACTTAAATAAAACATTTAGGTATTTGGGTTAGAGGCCGTGTAGGTATACCAGGGAATGAAAAAGCTGATACTCTAGCTGAGGAAGCAGTGCAAAATGTAGTCTTTTGCAATATTTATACAGTAAGGGATATATTTAACTTAATAAAAAATAAAATTAGACTGAAATGGTAACAGCAATGGGAGAATATTGTTGAAAACTCGCAAAATACATATTTACAGATACACTCCATTTTACATTTAAAGATGTGAAAGTAGAAATATAAATTAGTATAACTTTAATGATTTATAAATATAACAAAAAATCTAAAAAGATCTAAAAAAAGTAACAAACAAGAACAAACAAAATATTTTTAAACATAAATAAAACATTATGTGGCTAATGGACTTGTTTCCGTGTCATATTTTTCACACACATACACACACAAGAAAATAAAATATCATTGACAATACTTACGTCAATTTCCTTAAAGGTATTAACAAGTTTTCGGTTGCTTCGAAATGTGCTGCCTCTTGTTCCATAAATGTAGTAACATTATAAATTATTGCCTTTGCTTGGCTATTTAATCCCAGCCCTTTCGTTCCTATCTTTTTAGAAGCCATATTATAACTATTATTAATTAAACTTAACACACTATAAATAAACCAAACTAAACGACTTAATAATTAACTAATTACTACTACCTATATTATACTAATAAGCACTAATCTAAAATAAAATAATAAAATATCCAACACGATCAAATTAACAAGTCAAACACTCTCTGCGATACGCACTACGACACTGGCAAACTGAAAACTGGCCGTTTCTACCTTCTACCTTCACCATACTGTGGGTTTGAAATTTTGTTTAGAAATGATATTTGTTTCAAAATCTTCCATAAATATATCGGCTAAGAATGGAGATAAACTAGAGCCCATTGCTAAACCAAAAGTTTGTTTATAGAATTCATTATTTAGTTGAAAATATGTATTATCAGTACATAATGTTAATAACTCCATTATAGCCGATATGTGTAGTCTTGTTCTAGTTGCCAATGAATCATCACTCTCTAATTTTTTCTTGACTATACCCTAAGTCTTATTTAATGGCACATTCGTAAATAAACTATTTATGTCAAAACTTACCAAAGTATTATTTGAATTAAATTCAATATTTGATAATTTATTTAAAAAATGTTCTGTATTTTTTATGAATGTGTCATTTTTATTTGTAAATGGTTTTAAAATATTTAAAAAAAATTTTGATAGTTCAGAACAAGGAGAATTCATGGTACTACAAATGGGTCTAAGTGGTATATTCGTTATAAATGAGTCAGATAAAATTAAATTAGAAGAATTTTTCACTATGTAACAAAAAATAAAATTTGTTTAATTTACTGTTTGTATTTTGAGAACGATTTCCGAAGTGGAAATTAAAACGTGAATAAACGTACTTTTATCTTTAATTGTGGCTTATTCCCAGTTAAATAGTAATTAATTTATAATGCCACGAGAAAATAGCTTCAGAACAATTCTACAAGGACATGTCAAAGAATGAGCGGAACATTATAGTTGTCACATAAAGGTGAGCTAATGTGACCAACTATATGCTTGTGGGTAAGTCGGGTATGTCCTAGGCGAATGGAGTAATAAAAACTTAATGAGTTCTTTCTGTTTGGCATTTGATATTTCCATTAATGACTTTAAATCATTTAGCATTCTTTACACCAACTACTTACACCAACAAATTTGTGAAAAGTATAAAGAAATAACATTACTGACTACATCATATAAAATAATGATAATCAATAATTATTAATAAACATTTAAATGGTATACTTAATGCCACTGCGTGAAAGTACTGCATTGTTTCTTTTTAAAAAATCAATAAAAAGTTTACACTCATGATTAGCATATTCTATTATTGGAGCTGTGGGTGTATAGAAGAATTCTGAAAATATCGTGAACAAAGACGTTCTGAGAAGGATGAAAAAAGAAATAGAAATTTCAAATACAATTAAAACATGGAAATTGGAATATCTCGGACATATTACACGTGAAGAGAAATACACTTTGCTCCAATTGATTATGCAGGGAAAGATCCAAGGAAAGAGAAGCATAGGGAGGCGTAGAATATCATGGCTGCGCAACCTGAGAGAGTGGTACGGATGTACATCAAATGAATTTTTCAGAGCAGCCGTGTCAAAATTCCGAATAGCTATGATGATTGCCGACCTCCACCCCGGAGATGGCACTTGAAGAAGAAGAAGTTTGAAATGTGCCATGAGTCCAGGAACATCACTGCAAAAGACCAGGTCATTTGCTTGGGAGAAAAAAGATAGAAATTCCTTTTCCCTAAATCGATACCAAGAAAAGGATAAGCGCCCTGAGAATCGCAATGAGAATCAACGCGGACTGAAATTTCATTTGGGGGACGTACATAATTGTACATCATTCCAAAAGGCTCCATAACAGCTGCCAATTCTACAAGATTTTGTTGGAAATGACTTTGTTCTGATGCATGATAATGCCAAGCCGCACAGTGCGAGAATCACGCAACAGTTTTTAAATGAAATAAACATTCCTGTATGGATTGGCCAGCATAGCATTGAGTCCAGACGCAAACCCAATCGAACGTACTTGGAACATGCTTGGGCGAATGATACGAAGTCGTGTTCCTGCACCTTTAACTTTAAATCAGACAAGAAGCTCTTTTAGAGGAATGTAAACTTATTCCTCAACAGGATATTCCTCATTTGATTTTATGCATGCCAAGGAGAATTCAGGCAATAATTCCAGTTCGTTGCTCAAAAGGTAAATTTTAATTGAAATTACTTAAGACAGTTTGTTTCGTTTGTGCTTACGTTATTATAATAATAAAAGTTTAAAGGAATTTGAGGAAAAGAATAGATTCTGAGCTCCTCAAAACAACAATAAACAAAATAACAAAGAAACAAGTCATACATATACATTACCGATTTACTGTAATAAAAATAAAATATTGATTCATGATTTTAATGTTCAAAAGTGATTCATTACACAAGCCATCGAGTTTTTTTACTACAAAGTTGATAACACAAAAATTAGGTCTGCATAATTATTCCTAGTTAATTTTTTATCCATAGTCATGAGTGCTACTAGTCAAAGAAAGTCATTTCCATGTGAAAATTACAACATATGACTAAACAGAAAATAATTAAAAAATACCCTTACCGTCATAGCACCATTCTTCTTGTAGACACAAGCGATCACTATATAAACAACCTGTAATTAAACAAAAAGGAATTAAACTTTAATAAAATAAATACATAAATTTTACATATTTTATAGAGATAATAAATTAAGAGAATCAGTAAAAAATATGAATATCGACATATTTTATTTGGACATATTAATCAAAAAGAGTTTCTGGTTATGCAATTATTCTACGTAAGGCTAATGCCCATTAATTCTTCAGATATTCAGATCACTTATTACAGGTTTATTTTATACCCGTACCCAATGAATGCATTTAAAAAGCATTGGCCTGAAATTTTCCGCCTACGCTCTTAACGCAACTAAACCGATTTTCGTTAACAAGTAACTATGATTGTTTAAAAGTAGTTTCAAGTAAGAGAGTACCTACATAAACAAACATAATGGCTATTATCGTTTATGTGTATATTTGTTGAAGTGAAGAAACTAATGACACTTAATAAAAACATAAGTTTTTCTATTTTACTTCTTTTTAACCGTGTTCTTTTTATTTAAAATTAAACCAGATTTTGAACATGTGTTCACATTAACAATACTTTATGAATATAGTGGTTAAAATAGTATATACATGGGGATGGTTTTTCCACCATTGTAATGGACTCTTGATACAGGTGTACGTTTAGATAAGTCATCTCCAATTATTTGATCAAAAATACACCATGGACTAAATCATTTTTATCGGATTCTTTTTCTTGTTAGTAGTGGTCGATTTTCAATAGTACAATCTAATTATAGAAGTAACCAGCTTCTTAACTCTTTCTTCTGTTTTTTTTTAGCTTCATTTTTATCAGAAAAACCCTACACTTTAAATCGTGAATCCATAAATGTACATAATGACAATTGGCCACTCTATTTTATTTTCCCAAAATATTTTTGCTAAACCCGATATTAGTAATTGTACTACGAATGTAAGGTTACCGTTTGCTAAAATTTTATTGCAAGATTCTTGCAGGCAGCGTACCATAACAATCACTGAACTACCCTTCAAGTATTTTTGGTCACTCACTGTACTTGTTATTTCTTTAAAAGGCCGTAAAATTTGGGAAAGTTGAGAACAAATAATCCAGTGTTCTTTATGTAGATTTGGTCTAAGTCTAAGTCTGTATTATCTAATACCAATGTGGAACGGATTGTGTGTTCTAACTCGGTCATTCTTTTTAACATGTAATAGGTGAAGTTCTATCTAGTTTCCACGTCTTGGATTGGCTGTTTAGGAAATTTGTTATGTTGTAATTGATACTTTAAAAGCCTTTCTGAAGATAAGGTGCTTTTTTTTATTACACTTTAAAGGTAATTTACATTAATTACTGGACTACACGTGTTTATATATTTTGTTTTGCTAAAAACTCGGAAGTGATTTAGTGCTAATTTGTTTCAAGGTTATATTTAATACAGTGTCTGCAGGAAGTAAAGTCTTGGATGTATTTTATTGAAATTTGGACATATTTGGACATACCGGCAACTTGGCATGTATTTTCCAATTTAACTGCATGCAAAACTATTCGTATAACTTTATCTCTACGCAAAACAGAGACTTATAAAGACCTTGATGAACAGTTGATGTCGACAAATAATTTCGAGTATTCGAAATATTCCGCCCCACTTCTTTTAACACGCACTGTCTATACATATTATATTCATTTTGTTTGTCTTTAATACAGTAAAATCCAATATTATTACTGAACATAAAATACAGGAAATTAAATATTTTTACTTTTCAAGCGATCGGAATTAAATATTAACGTCCCACTGTTTGGGGCCCACTGATGATATCTTAATTACATATCGGCCGTCATAGAGTAAACGGAGTAGGTTTTACTGTAGATTGGGGCGAAACTTAATACTATGTTTTCTATATTAAATAATAAAAGTAATTTTATTATTTATTCATCATTTATATTTTAAACAAACTATACAGTGGTGAGTGCTTTATCGCCCGGCTTTTTAACGTAAGAGATAGAAAACACAGTTACCTTGTGAAATAAAAAGAGATGAAACTCGTAAAGGTGGGAAATAATCGATAGAAACCTATAATTTACATTACATTACATTACCACCGTGGATAGTCTCACACATTTAGACGTTATTATAGTATTAGAAGTGTTTAAAGTCGCTTTAAAATCCGGCAAAATAGCGGAAAGGATAGAAGATGGATTTTGTGAGAAAGAATGAGATAAAGCTAGTTCTTAGACGTGGCTATTTGACTTCAGTCATAATTATACGGATGACCGCGAAAATATTTTATTTTCATAATTTCTGATTTAAGAATAAATGATTGAATAAATTAGAATTAAAGTAAAAAACATTAATTAGTAGCGATTTTAAATTATAAATCTTTAAGTTTATTCAATAATAAAAATAAATCAACTGAAATATTTGACTAAACTAAAGGTAGGTATGTTCTATCCGAAAACATTAATTGTATGTGGAGTTGGTGTAATTATTAGACACGTGGTCTATTGACAAGAAGATTGGGGTTCAATTGCCACCAAGGATAAAATTTTTGTTTTACTCAATCAAAAAATAATAGAAAATATTATACATATTAGGTAAAAAGTTTTCAAAAACTCATTATTTACAATTTATTCTTATTCCAATGTTATAAAACGGAAATACAAAATAATTCAAATTCAAAAAGATATTTATGTGTAACTTTAAATACTTCTAATACTAGTAACGACTGACATAAATGTTTAGTGATTCAAATCAAAACGATGACTGCATAATTTCAAATTATTAAAAAAAAAGAAAACCACATATGGGTTTTGAACTCTAATCGTCTGCGTCGCAGTGTCGAATTCTTACCACTAATCCACAAAGGACTGATGTTTATTTCCGTGACAAGAGTGTATGAAACTCCTGAAATCATAGAAATTATTTTTGGTTATTAATTTAAAACTTTAGATTAAATATTCACTAATAATTAATTTATTGTATTCACATTTTTGCTTTTAATTGTGGTCAATCATTTTTTACTTTATGCAAATTTAAAAAAATGTCACTGAAATACGTTACACATACGACGTCACAAATAATAATTATGACTGAGGTGATTTAGCTGAACTAACGTCTAAAAGTGTGAGACTATCGATAGTGTTAATGCAATGTAATGTAAATTATAGGTTTCTATCGATTATTTCCCACCTCTACGAGTTTTATCTCTTTTTATTTCACAAGGTAACTGTGTTTTCTATCTCTTACGTTAAAAAGCCGGTTGATAAAGCACTCACCACTGTATACGTTATCATCATTGAATAATTTATTATGTTTGCTCCTAACACCACCTGCCAAACAACTCCTACTGCATCGTTGGAAATCCTGCTGAATCTACCACCACTTTATATCTTTATACAGGGTGAAGCCAGATTAGTGATGCAGAGATTAGTCCATAGTCAGCGACATATAAGTCAGAGGCATGGTGCTGAAAACAGAAAGATAATCGAAGAGCTAAAAGCCGATATTATGATGAGGTAACCTATTCATGCAACAGCTACGAAATATAGCTTTAACCATAAGTTCACAATTAAAATATCAGGCAGAAAAGACTGGAATAAAGGTGTACTCATACAAGCTACTGCTATCTGGTACACGGATGGCTCAAAAACATCGGAGGGTGTGGGAGTCGGCATTGTAGGGACAAACCAAGATACATTTTCCGGTAAGTCAATCTAAGGATGTGACAGTTTTTCAAGCGAAAATAACGGCAATCCATCACTGCGTGGAAGAAATAGAATGGCAGGAAAAAACGTTTCGGTCAGTTGCCATCTTTACAGATAGTCAAGCAGCGCTTAAGGTACTCAATTCTGTAGAGATCAATTCTAAGCTAGTATGGGATTGTGTGTGTGCCTTATATAAACTAGGAGACTAGGAGAAAACGGCAATGAAAAAACACATGAAATGACCAACAATGGCTCATCAGTGCTATTCATTGGGCCGAACCATTCTGCGTCGTTGCAAAGACAGTAACAAGAATAGCTACAAGGAAGTGGGTAGCACACAAATCTCTGGAATGGTGGAGGAATTCACCAGGACAAAGACAGGCGAGACAGTTCATTACAAAAAATTCACCAAAATTTACGGCAGACCTAATAAGCAAAGACTGGAAAACAGTCAAAGCCATTGTAGGTCTTCTAACAGGGCACTGTAAATGAAATAGGCAGTTGAAGGTGATGGAATTATCAGATGATGACCTGTGCAAATTATTTACCCTCGAAGAAGAAACAGCATTCCACGTCAGTGTGACAGTCTGGCAAATGTGTGGTTCTTTCCATTAGGAGAAGAAAATCCACCGGCAAATAGCTACATGGAAGGTACAGTCTCAAAGCTATTAGAATTTTTAAAAAGGGCCAGGCTAGAGAGTGTTATCTAGGACTAAAGGGCCACAAAACAGATCTGAAACGGTCGCAGTGGAACAGGCCAAAAGGCCACCTCTCTAAATATATCTATCTATCTATTTACCACCTGCCAACGTATAAACAAACTTTTACTTCTGACAGTTTACTTCTTCTGAATGAATGAAATTTTTATAATGTTTGTTTTTAATGGTTATATATATATATGGATTAGGTAACTTTTTCAACGTTTATTCAACATCATTTTAAGGTTATATATATATATATATATATATATATATATATATATATATATATATATATATATATATATATGGATTAAATAAACTAATAGTGTAGAGGTAGCATCATATAAAAATATTTTTAATTTACAATAAAAAAAATAAGGGTCATTCATCGAAATAAAAAATATATCTCCTAATTGGACCAAAAATTACACTTTCACAAAATTTTATTAGATAACCTCGTTCTAATCTTAATTGTTATTATTCCATAGTATATTAACCCTTAACTTGGCACGCACATAACCGCTGCGCTGTAAGAAAAATGTTTTTGCTTACTGAATATTATCTTTTGAGGGCTCCATTTTCAGAGTCAATTACATTTTTGTTTCTATTTTAATTTTTTTGACATTTTATTGACGTTGTATCTCATAAG